AAAAAAAAAAAAAAAATTTGCAAGGTCAATGTTCTTTACATGTATTTCCATCAAATCAAAGGTGCAGAATTCATCTGCGATAGTGACGGCCAAACTTTTTCTTTCCCTCGCGTATTTCCCTCCCAAACAAAGTCGATTCATTTTCATTTCCCGCAACAGTGGGTGATCCTTTGACGAAAAAATCTAAAGGTGCACGATCGACACCGGTCGCGAGTGACTTTGACAAGAATGAACTACACGCGTGTATCGTGTTTGGGCTTACGTGAGCGAAACTGAGATAAACGAGCTGCTCGTGGGTAAGGTGAGTGAATCCCGGAAGCAGGGGCTCTTGACCGTGCCTGGACTTCCATCTTTCGTAAGCGGCTACAGCCTCCCTGAGGCCTCCGTTGTCGGCTATATTTTCGCCCAGTGTATGCTCGCCGTCGATGTAATCGTCCACCTGTTTGACAACAAGCGCGCCGAATCCGTGAAGATGCCGATGATCTGTCGTCTTGTGAAACACTCTCTCGCTCCGTACTTTTCCCTTCTATTTTTTCCTCGTTTCTTTTCGGAATGTTTTTGGAGCGAAGGAGAGGGTGAAGGAAGCAACTTACGTCAGCCTCGTAATAGGTGTTGTAATGACGTATAAAGCAGTCAGTTTTCTCAGTGTATCTCGTGACGGTCTCGTTGGTCCACCATTGCCTCACGTTTCCATTGCTGTCGTAGTGTCTTCCGACGTTGTCGAATCCGTGAGTTAATTCGTGGCCAAGCACCGTCCCGATGGCGCCGTAATTCAGAGATCTGAAATTAGAACGTCGATCTGGAGAAACGTAAAACTAAAGATAGAATTCCAGCAGCTACGTCTCAGCGATCGATCTTACTCGAGGCCCAATTCGTAAAATGGGAATTGAAGGATTCCCGCCGGTATTGCTGCGCGTGCGTGCGTGCGTGTTAGAAAGAGCAAAAAAGATATAAATTGTAAAGTCGCGGGTTTCGATCGATGATTAAATATACGTACGTACTTATGTGATTGAATTGATAGGTGTGAAATGCATTTACATCCGTTGGATCGGTGGCCCAGCTAAGCAAAACAAAAGAAAGGAGAACGATTGCTCGTTTGATCGTTTTCTCTGTCTGGCGTAAAACTCGCGAATATCGAACTCTTACTACGACAGGTTGTTGTAGTTAACTTGGTGAATGCATTCCAATTCGGAGAGGGACATGAGTCGAACGATTTGAATCATGTTGTTCAGGTATTCCGTTTCCGACAGATCTATCTGAAAAACGTACAAGTTAATTTCACTGTTTTTCGGTGAAAACGAATGCAAACGCGAGCAAACGTCTCTCGAATCTCTTACGCCCTCGTAGTACTCGTTGAGCGCCGTCTCGTCGAACAACCAATCTGGAAAGCCAATTTGAGAAATCATGTTCTTGTTTTTCTCCAGCGTGGCCATTTTCGTCTGTCGATCCATCCAATCGGTGCGCGAAACCATCGAGGCGAAGGCTTGTTTTATGTCGTCCAGCATCTCCAGCACCTTTTTGCCTTTGTTTTCGTGAAACGACGGGTCGACGAACAGCCAAGAGACCGCCATTCCTGTGTGTCATTAAAATATGCAGAGATTTCCAACACTACTTTCTCTCTCTCTTTTTTCGGAAAATCGCACTCTCTTTGTGACAACAACGACTTCTGTTATCTAACGATGCGCTTACTTGTCGGCACTTGCCGAGTTTGGCTTCTGGGTATTCAGTAATGTATGTAACATCACAGCACTGAGCCGAAAGTGAGAAATTTGTGCGAAACTAAACGCGAAACTTACTAATTTTGCGAAATGCTTTGCGAGATTGAATGATTTTTTATATATCGTTTTCTCTTGAGAGTTGAAGACTGTTTCTCGATCGATTGAAAAATAAACTGTTTCTACCGACGGCCGGTCGCAAACTTGTCTTTAATTCGATACAGTCTTAATTAAGTCAGATTTAAAGGACGAGCCGTTTAATTGCTTTGCTGTAGGTCGTCTAAAATCGACAGATGACAAGAAACGTAAAGCTAGACAGTTAGAGTCTTGACATTCAAAGGAACGTCCAAGGGAAAAAACCGAAAGAATATCAACGTCCTTGCGCAGAAAATCTCGAGAAAAACTATAAAACTTTGATCAGTTCTTCACCCATGAGTTCGTTGACCGCGGATGTGCAAAGAAGAGATCTCGATTCGCCGATCTCGATGTTGGTCATCTCGCTGATGTAGTCCAACCAGATATTCTTCAAATTGTCGGACGAGTGAGGCACCACTGCGTCCACGACCACCCACCAGATGTAGCTCTCTGGAAATGTAACAGCAATGTATCGACGAACGAGCCAGTGGCGTTTTTTTTCAAACGAAAGACCCAGTTCTTCTTACCCAGTTCTTCTTCGTCGGCGAGAGCCAACGTTAGAGCAACCTCCTTCAAGTATTCTAAATCGGCTACCAATATCTTGTCCTTCTCGTTTAAATCCAAAGTGCCGACGATGTCCTCGAACAATGACTCGACGAACGGCCGCCACAATGGTTTAGGCGTGAGCGTCGAATTGACTTCCGTCACGAAGAGGTCGGTCAACTTTTGAAGATCGTCCATTAACATGTAATTATCATCGGTCGGATCGTCCTCCCAGATGCTCTCGTTGCTCTCCAGACGAGACAGCTGCAAGACGACCGAGTGGTGCAGTGGTTTCGGTTCTGGTGCAATCGGCTCAGAATGCTCGCAAATATCTTGCAAATTGCAAACGTAATTACGTAGTAAAAAGTGCTGGTCAATTCGTAGAGCGTATCGACTATTTCGTCCAGGTCTTGCTCGTCCGGGAACGACGATGATTCATCGTTCAAGGCGCACGAGTCGAGGGTCCCATTGTTCACGACCTGTTTAATCACCTCGGTTATGTAGGTCGTTTCTGCTTCCTTCCTCTGCTTGCTCTCGCTACTTTCCTCCTCCTCATCTTCTTCCTCTTGATCCTCCAGTTTCCGGAAACGTGACCTGACCGCGTGCAGTCGTTTCTCGAGCTCCTTGTCGCTGTTGGAGAGGAAAGTTGCGCAGTTCATCGTCGTACTGATGAACAATGATGGAGGTGATGATCATTGTAATGAAAGAACGTAATAGAATTACTTGGGTAAGGGGTTGCTCATGATCGGCGTGTCGAGCAACATGACGTTGTTACTGGTGTTCCGAGGATCGGGGATAACGTCGAAACCGAAGAACACGTCCTTGCCCAGAAGTTTCTTCACCCTGGCTATCTGTTCGATGTAGCCGTTGGTCTTCTTCTTGGTGAACGCGGCGGGAACTCGTGGCAAATTGAGTTGCTGCAGCAGGTCGAACAGTGGCTCGAGCCCCAGCTCGTTTATCGCGTCTGAATCAGGAGGGAGAATTTCGACGTTTTATTCCCACCTGACGAATTAACGAAGCGGGTGAGTGAAAGAACGTACGGCCGTCCATGCAGCTGTTGTACAATATTTTCGCCTGCGAGACGGCCCACGGTACCTCGCTTCTCGTCCCGTTGTCCCGCAACAGTTCTCTGATTTTCCTGTACATTCTCTCTCGGCGCTCGTCGAACCACGAGTTCGTTAGACTCTTGTCTGGTATAGGATGCTCGTCTGGCCACTTTCCGCACGCGTATCTGCAATAGCAAAGAGAGAACGAAAGCGCCAGTCGAAACAGACAAAGTACAGTAGCGCCCTCTTCTTCAGTGAGGACCGGAAGAAAGAATGGGGGGATGAGCGTCAACTGTGCCGTGTATACCGCGGCGAATTCTACCATTTAGTTTATTTTATTTGTACGTTATTCGATCGCGAAGGAATTTTCATTCAAACTGAATACATTCGAACTATTTCGAATACTTGGCACGTACGTACTTTTAAAAACTAAATAAATTGCGACGAAGCAATAATTAGGTCGAAGATGATTCTGATCGACCTAATCTTTCTCGGAAACTTATTGAAATTCCTATAAAAGCTAAGGTTAATCGATAATTGAATGGAAATGGACCTTGTTACATTTTCGTCGATATATATTAACCCTTTATTGCATGAATTTTTATGACGAGTTGAAAAAAATATACATGGCTGTTAGTCTACTTAAAAATCAGTGTGGTCATGAACTAAATAATAAAATTTTATTAGAAAATGTTATTTGTTGCATTTTATGAAACAAAAAGATTTCCGTCTAGTCGCCAATTGAGAGTGGAATGCAATTAGAGAGGGTTAAATAAAAACGATACATATTTGATGAAGAAAGAAACGAGATCGTAATCTGTCGAAATATCATACACCGGTTTCTTTGTTTTATGCTGCGCGGTACCGTGCAAAATGAGCCAACGTAGGAAGTAAGCAAAGTTTGAAACATGCTACCGGCTGCGAGTTGCATCGTTGCTCTTCGAAAGTGCTCATACTCACTTGTAAAAGTCGTCGCAAGGATCTACGGAAGTGTCCATAGATTCTTTCAGACTAGCAGCTAGCGGAACAGCGGATTTCATTGAATGTTTCTTTCGCAGAATTTTAATATCAGAAGCAGAAAGCAGCCCAACTGAACGCAGTTGGTGTCGTTTCCTTACCTATGCGGACGCAGTTCTCCGTTTCGCAAAGCTTCGCCGGTCTGTTGGTTGCATCTGTAAAAACAGTCGATACGGGGGGAGAGAGAGTACGTGTCATACTAATCGATGAAAAGAAGAAAAACGTATCTACATCGATGAAATCGCGTAAAATTAGGAACGATCGATCTTTCGTTCGACGAAAATGTTTACTCACAGAGTATGGAGAACACCAAGGCCAACGTGACGGATAAAGCCGTCAAGAGGAGCAGTACGATTATCGTTAGATTCGGTACGTATCTTCGTCTCCTTAAACTAAAGAAAGAAGAATAAATGGGAATGAACCTGGTGTAGTAGTAATTGGCTTAAGACACGCGATAGACTTACTAGGCGCGTCTGGACTTTACTGGTACCAGATTCTGGTTGCTGGCGACCGTGTAGATCGAACGCGTTTCATCCTCTGAAAAGAAAAGAAAAGAAAATAAAAGAAAAAAAAAGAAAAGAAAAGAAAGAAAAACTGAAAGAAAATTTCATTCCCACGATACCTACAAGTGTGAAGATTGAGATTAAGAGATCAAACGAGTGAATCTAAACACGTTTAGAACTCATCGTCGGGATTCAGTTTTCTCGAACAGATCATCAGAGTTGTGTGAAACTCTCGACTCGAAGAGAGTTTAAGGGATAAAAGCAGGAAAGGCAGGAAAGTTAAAGCGGTCTATAGCGAGTTAAAATGGGGATGAAGAGCGGAAGTTACAGTGACTAAATAGACGGTATACGCGTAAATATAGATACTCACTGCGCTCGTTCATGGTGAATGGCCCAGTGACCGGATCGAACTGACGACACTGAACAACCTCGAGGGACAACGTTGGCGGCTATCCATACGTTCACATTTCCCTGCTTTGCCAGTGGTTCTCGTTACGTCGATCCACTCGCCTCTCTCTCTCTCTCTCTCTCTCTATTTTCACCTGTGTGTACAACGTTGTTACATTCACCCCAATCAGCCACGTGTCTTGCCCCGTTAAAACGACGTTGCTCCTTCTCCGTTGGCTAGCAAAGTCAGACTCCAAAGCCAAAACTGCAAATTTCCAATCGACCATTCAAGTGCAAGTCTCGTTGGACTTTGATCGCGTTGCGTCGAGAGGATTCGAAGACGATCGCGAGAATGTTTCAGACAGCCGAACCGTTTGGCCTTCGACGTGACTGACGTATGCAGAGAGTTTATCACTAAAACATGTAGCACCTACGTGATCGATAATCATTGTGTCGTTCACGCACTGAAGACTCTTTTCAAAGTTTTCCTTTTTGCTTCGGGGCGATACTCTCCCCATTTCGCGGGCAACACGCTCGATTGTTTGGCCTAACGATGCTTCAACATTGCCTCGTGCAAGATTGAATCTTGCGGGTAAGAGTCTACGCAGGCATAGGTTGAGAAATAGAATTTGTGCGTTGAAACGATCATCGTCCCGTTAGACGTCAACGACAATAACGAGACGTACATTGCATTTT